ATGCCCCTCTGGCTCTTTCACAGCCCTCACCAGATTCATTATGTGGTTTCCAATAGTGCCACTCTCCCCTTCAGTGCTCCAGGTCATCACCACTAAAGCAGTATCAACTACAAGAAAGCCATATAGAGTCATTCTGTCTATGAAGAGACTATTAAAAAAACCCACATGCAACAAAACTCGTATTTTGCAACACCCAGAACAATTTCTGGGGTACAACACTGGCTTGTGTTTAGCAAACTGGGAAATAACAGCTCTCCGCTGCAGGAAGTACAGGAGTTGACAGAATTTTTACATCCCTCATCAGTAAAAGTGACTCCTGATTCTGTATGAACAAAGCGTAAGAATTGTTTATTAAAGACAATATTTTTCATTCATGTAATAGTAGAAGAGAATAATTATGCTCAAGAAAACCTGGGCAGTTTCCCATTCTGTCCTGGTCTGCGTCTCCCAATTCTCCTCCCAAAGTGGGACTAGAATAACTGAAGTCTGCAACAAGACTATGGGTAAACACAATTTGAGCTGTGGAATGACTTATTTTGTGAGTATTTTTGGTGAGGGAAGATCAGACGCCTAAATCTTTTTGTTAGCATTGTAACTTACAGTACTCCTCATTATCCAGACTGCCCTGTAACTTCGACTTCTGCAACTTCGTAACTCCAAAATGCTCATGTTAACACTCCTAACAGCTTGTTCATCAAGCCAGTATAAAAAACCCAACCAACACATATGTATGATTATTATTAGACAGAATTCTAAAATCTTAAATAACAGGAACCAGACATTTGATATTTTCTCAGTTAATTCTCAAAACAAGTCTGAAGTTGAATTTGAAGGTTTGCTATGGGAGTTTTTGGTGTTTTGTTTGGGTGTTTTTAAACTTCTATACAAAGAGTAAAACCGCAAAAATCCTTCCTAATGCAGTACCTCAGTTTTAAACAAATGAAGACAAGCATTAAAGGTCATGTACTTGTATCTGTTCCTAAAAGTTTAGTGTTCCTGAAACTGTGCAGTAAAATCTCACATGTTGCACTATGCTGACTATTTTATGAAGCTGCTGTGATTCAGAAATCACTCGTGACTTCTACAATTTCTGAGAAGTTATAACTTCTCTCTTACTCAGTTTTGAATAAAAGCTATAAACTTACATTTTTTAAAGAGTTTTTAGAGCTTTGAAAAAAAAACACCACAAGAATTTATTTCCTGAGTATTTTTGACTGCAAAACAAAACAAAACAACAACAAAAAAAAAAAATTCAAATGTACTTACCTTGATAGGAGCTGTTGAGAACTTGACTTTTCGGTCTGGTTCAGGATCTTCCTCTTCAGAAAGTCCAGGAAACTCCTCATATTCACTATCATACATATACTCCTCCTCCTCCTCCTCCTCCTCTCCCTCCAAAATTTCTTTGCCTTCAGGCCCTTGGTTTTCCGACTCTGTATCCCTGTCATCATCAAAAGCTACATTCTCTATTCCAAAAGCACTGAAGTTCTCGCTCTGCTTTTCCACCACTTGCTCCTCTTCTTCAATATCCCTTTCCTGCTCCAGAACATCCTGAACTCGTGTAACTGGACCATCTCTTTCTTCTTCCCGATTGGTCTTGCTGCCTTCCATAAACTCTACCGCTTCCGAGAAGTAGTCACTCCTCTTTCCTTCCTGTACTTGACATCTGATCGGCTGATCCTCTTGAACAACGTGCTCTTTCTCCAAACCTTCTTTTTCATGCCCTGAGGTTTCATCTTGTGCAACCGGCTCTGCGCAAGTCCCCTCCATGGGGAAAACCCGGGAGAGAACACTATCTGATCTCCACTGAGCCTCCTGACCAGGCATACTGCCCATACCCGCCAGGCTCCTCTCAAGTGCCAGTTGCTCTCTTTTGTCTTTTCCAGGTGCCTCGCTCAGCTCATCTCTGAGTCTCACAGGCACTTTGGTGGATGCAGCCTTCTCCGGACATCCTTCAGCAAGAGCAGATGAATCCAAACTGTGGTGGCTTTTCAAAGGGTACTGATTAGGAGGACTACAATTTTTGGAAATTTCTTTGGCTTCTTCAGTATCGCTGTCACCCAGAAAGCTTTCCAGCCTCCTAGAAATGGGCCCCGCACTCAGGAAGGAGGATTTGGAACCACTATTGAGATGTTGCTGCTTCAACTCCTCATTACCTTGATTTTCAACTTTTTCCAGTGCAACTGGAAGACTTGCCTCTGTATTAAAACTGAAGTGGTCCACCACACTGCTGCAATCGGAAGCTGAACTGCGCCTCCTCTTATCCTCACTTCTTTCACATTTGCTGGGGGAATATCTGTCCACTGAGCCCCGTTGTTTTATATTTCTCTCAAATAGCTTCCTGGTCTCTGAAAATTTTTCTGCCAGGGCAACTTTGTCCAAGTCTGCCTCATCGTTGCTACGGATGACCTTGTCAGCAGCAGAAGGCACAGACAATGAATCCACAGGACTGCTGGAAGGGCTGGTATTTGTATTAAGAAGATTATTTTTTTGGACAATGAGGAAAGATGGGCTACCTGGAGGAGGTCCATATTCTGCTGCCACAGCCCGGCTGATTAATTTGGTCTCAGCAGGTGGACTGCTTTCACAAGAGGGTGTGGAAGAAGAGCCTCCCATTTGCAGAAACATGTTTTTGATCTTGTGTACTCTATTGCCGTAAGTTGCAGCTCTGCCTCGACTGTGGGGGTCATTTCCCCCTCCATTGGAAGAGGTGCTCAGCTTCTGATGCAAGCCCGTTTTGTTGGAAGCATTTTCAGGATTGCTTACACCATCAAAAGAGCATTTGATAGCATGAAAATCGGATTTATAGGCATTTCGGTGTGGAGAAGCACTTCTTAAAGTCCTTTCCCCTTTGCCTTCGGTTTTCATCATTGTCGGCGAGAAAGCTCCCTCGACTCCTGAAGAAGAATAGGAAGGACGACTCCCAGGCACAAAGCTTCCACCCTCCAACACCAGGCAGAGCAGATCCCACCGAAGATCAGAGAAGCGGCCTTTCACTCGGCCAGCCTCTCCACTCGCATTGAAATGGAGCGCAGGGGAGTATACGTGAAGAGAAAGAAATCAAAGCGCGTAAATGGCCACATCGGGTATTATGCCCAGCGCGGACCGCGGTGTCCGGAAAGGCATCTGCAGAGAGTCAGAGAGTTTTCATTAACTCGGGGCCTCGCCGGCTTGCGACCCGAATCCGAAACTCGGGGTGAGAAACGCCGCCCGAGACCTCCCCGCGGAATAAAGCCCATTGTGTCCGCCGGGGCGCGCGGACCCATCCAGCCGCTGCCGCCCAGACACCGACCCGGCGGCTCCGGCGGGGGATGCGGCGACGGGCGGCCCCCCCCCGCCGCTCCCGGCTGCCCGCCCCTCCCGCCAACGGCCATCCCGGGCCGGGCGGCGGGGGAGGGGGGCAGCGCCCGGCCCTGCCTGCCTGCCGCCCGCCCGCCCGGGGGAGGCCGGGCCCGGGCCGGACCTCGCCGCACGCACCGCGGCTCGGCGGGGCAGAGGGGCCCGGGCGCCCCCGCTCTGCCCGGAGGCGGGGAACCCGCGAATTTCGGCCCCAAGTTGGGGCTTCCCCGTGGCGGCGCCTCTGCGCCGCGGGGCCTGCGGGGCGCGCAGAGGAGCCGCCCCGGCACCTCGCCCCAAACTTTCCGAGCCAGCCTACCTGGGGGCGGGGGTCCCGCCGGCTCCTTCCCCTCAGCGCTCCCGGCCGCCCAGCGGCCGCACACACCACGCCATCATTATCCGCCGCCGCCAGCCGCCCTCCCTCCTTCCCCCCTTCCTTTCCTCCCCCCCTCCCACCCCCCCGCCCCGCCGCCGCCGCCGCCGCTCCGCACTCCTCACTCCACCTTCCTCCCGCCCCTGCGGCGACGCTCCAAACCGCCGCCCGCCCCGCTCGCCGGCGCTCACGCTGCTCGGCGCCCTCCTCCGCGCTGTGTCTCGGGCCCGCCCGCGCGCCCTCCCTCGCTCGCACACAAAGAGAGGGAGCGGCGGGCGCGCCCTTGTTCCTCTCAGCGTGAGGGGAGAGAGGGGCCGGCGGGCGCGCCCGGCCTGAGGGAAGCGCCTCCCGCGCCGGGATATACCACGCCATAGCGGGATGTGGGTTTCGGGTGATACCATGTCGGGGAGGCGAGCAGGCCACGGGGCCGCCCTCCACTGCCCGGTCCCGCTCAGGAGGCCGCGAGCGCGGCGCGGCGCCGGTGGGTGAGGGTCGCTGACCGGGACCGGGCCTGGGGTTGCCGGGGCGAGGGACAGCGGCGGGCGCTGGGGGAGGGCCACGGGTCGCTGAAGAAAGGTGAGCGCCGAGCCGCCGGCGTCGGGGAGGTGAGCGCTGCTTCCAGAGCCCGGGCGGCCAGCGCGGCGGGGTTAGCGGTCGCCCTGGCTTCACGGCAGGGCAGCGTCGTTCACGGGTGGAGGAGAAGTTCCGGCAGCTGCCAAGACCGTGGCACTGACAGCCAGAAGTAACAGCAATGCCAAACATTCCTTCCCCCCTCCGCCCCCTATCACTTTACAAATCTTGTTGTTACCCCCCCCGAAGAGTCAGGGAAGAGTCAAACCCAAGCTCAGGTACACAGCTGCTCGGCGAGGCCCGGGGCTGCCCGCGGCTCCCCACACCCCGCGAGCGAGTGCGTGGGTACTCCCACAGGTGCCGGGCGAGCCCCCCGCATGCTCCCCGGGCTGGAAGCCGCGGCAGCTCCCCGACACTGAGGAAATGATGCCCGTCATCGGTAGCCTTAGGCAGCAATAACCGCGATTGTGCAAGCAGCATTTCGTGTACCCAGCGCGCTTGTTTGTTAGTCCAAATAAAAGCACTGGCTTCAACCTAACTATCAAGTTAAAGACAGAATTCGGATGACTGTCTGGTTTCTAGTGTAGTTACTTCCACAGAACATATACAAAATAAATAAGAGAGCATTAATGAGCACTGGTAGTTGCCGATTATTTGGCAACTGTTGCTACTAAATTGTGTAACAATTATTTAGAGGTCTAAATACATAACTCTTTGAAAATAATGGTTTCACTGGTTTATTACTCTAATCAGTGGTGAAATTCGTACATTCTCCCAGACATCCCAATTGATTTTGGCTTAACTGGGAATCACAATGCCTGGAGTATTTCACAGCTTGATTCAAAATCTATGATACAGTCTCAAATTAGCTTTAATCATGATTTTACAATAAAAAGAAAACATTATCTATACATTTTTCTAATGCTTTGCTTTTCTAATACAATGCAGGGAGAAAATTGTTGAGACTTTCTTCTGTGTTTTCAAACATCACAGGGACAATGGCATTTCACCAAGACCTGCCACTAACAGTCTTAGATACACTTGTAAACACCATTTTGAATAAAATTTTAATACAAATTGTTTCACCATAAGAGCAACAAATGTTTCTTATTTTGAGAATAGGTAGGTCTTATCTAGAACAGGGAGCGGTGATCTTTCTCCCACATCCTCTTGAGATAGTCCTTCATGTAGTGTTTCTAGGTGGGGTTGAAATTGCAGGACTTAGCCACCATCTTTCAATAAATAGGGCTGCAAGAGAATACTAAGCAAACGTTTCTTTCACAAACCAAAGGTGAATACTAAGCAAATGTTTCTTTCACAAACCAAAGGTAAATACAGGGTTGCTCAGCAATTTGAACACTGTGGGCAGAGAACATTCTGCGTGCTACTCAGGGAGCCTGGCAATACATAGAAGACCGTGCAAAGAAAACAAAGGCAGAGCTCCGGAACAACATAATAACAAAGCCCAAAGCAGCTCTAAAGTGTGCCCAGGAAAGTCAGAGGCCTTTGTACTGGGTGCTGGATAAAAGAGGCTGAAGCAGGAAGACACTCTTGTGTTTGAATTCTCCCATGCTTGAGAAAGTATGGAACTGTAATTACAGATCCTGAAAACAGATTTAACTGCACCAAAGGACTCTTATTTCCTTACAATTTCTTATCCTAACTAGGAAAACATGCAGGTCATTTTGGCTAGCAGTGCTGCTCAGGATGGACAGTATTTACCAGGGTCAATAGGTTTCTAGTAAGGGAAGACTCTGAATTGTGTTCTAGGTGAAAGAAATAATAGTATTGTTTACAGAAAAAAAAAATGATTTAAAATACCAGAATTCAAGATAAAGACCTCTGGAATTTGAGCAAGAAGTCTAGGAAGGTGACGTAGTTTATGATTTCAACATAGCTATTAACTGCAATAAAATCTGGGAAGAGTATCTTACACATTGAGTTTGTGGTGGTTTCCTTGAAAGGTTGTGAAACAACGGTGACTAAGCAAATGGTTTGCACTGAGCGAGAAGCATCTATGTTTTGTCATCTAAGCTTACTAAAAAAATGGGAGTTTCAAGGAAGCAGCTCAAAATCTTCTTGGGGAAAAATAGAATTAGTATTACAGTATATGAACTCATGAATCTAATGAAGACAGACAAAGAGGAAAGTGTTTCAAAAAAAAAATAAAATTGAGAGCGCTTCTGCAAACCCAGTTGTTCAAACTGCCACTGAAGTACAGTGTTTATTTCAGTATTCACTCTGGCTATGGAGGCATATATGTGCAAAAGGAATGCATTTCAGTGGTCATCAGAGAGTGACTAAGCATCTTCTGAATGGAACCGTGTTCCTGTGATTACTCTTGTCTTGGCTTAACTGTTTCAAAATCCCTCTCCTGTTGCACACACATGCCTGTGCTTATGGTCTGGGGACAGATGAAAAACAGACATTCCCTATGAGTACATCAGAAGAGTGTCTAAAACATAACTGAGCAAAGAAAAAGACTCTCGAGATCTGGGTGAGAGTGATATTCTCTCACTGGTGTGACATTATCCTATAAGGAAGTTCCAATAAATATGTAAATAAATGATCTTAGATAAACTGTCATTTCTTAAATGGTTTATATTCTTTCGGCTTGTAAGGACAGTCATCTTTTTAGACTTCAGTTGAATGATTAATGTAGCTAAAATGAGGCATGTATTTAGTGGTCTGGGTTAGTATTTATTGATAATGGTGGATTCAATTGCTGCTGTTTATTCAAGATGAACATGAGAAACCATTAAGTGCAAACTCCAAACTAGTTTGAAACTGGTATCATCAACCCATTAATATACTTTAATCAACTCATGAAAATGTTGGTCTTGAGTCTTTTTAGAAACCAAAAAACTTGAACAAGCAATACTTTGGCTGAGGGCTGGATGGTAAAGCTTCCTCTCTCCACTGCTGCTTTACTGATCCCTACAACAGAGTGGGCAGAACACGGTCAAGAAGGAGTAAGTGCCTCCCAGGGCAAGGAAAGCTCCACAGCCAGTGTAACAGTTCAACGTTGTCAAAGCCAGTGATCAGCTGAGCTGAAGAAGCCCGCGTGAGAAAAAATCATGCCTCCAGCGTTCACTGCAAAACTTAATTCTCTGAACTTTTACTCTTCGAAAGTTATCTGCTCTATCCACATTTTAGTTTTATCATGTGATCTGAAATGCAGTCTCACCAAATTTTTATTTAATCTGCTTAATGTGAGTTACATCAGCAGTTTTAAGTAGAACAAGTCAGTGGGCTTTTTTATACTTTTGCAAAAAGCCAGGAATAGAAGGAATAATTAAGCATTCAGAGTTCCACAACTATTTCTGTAGATTTTTAAAGCTATATTTTAAGAAAATATTTTTCTGTTATTTAGGAGTAATTAAAATGTTCTGGAAGTATTTCAGTCGTACTCAGTATAATTTGAACAGCAATTCTGAATTTGAAATAGAGCACCTTCTATAAGTTTGATGGGCAATTTTGTGATGTCTATCGTTCAAATTAAGAAAGCAATCTATAATTTTGGAAGACTGTACTTATGTTAAATACAAAACTAAAATAATAAAGTAGCATTTTAAACTCATTACTTTGTAGCACTTCTTCACAAAAATAAAACAGAACTAAAGCCCAAAATGGTATTTAATGGTCAATAGCATCTGATCAATGAAGGAGAAGCAAAAAGTTTCAGAGCAGATGAGGAGACAAGTCATTTGGTAAAGGAAGTGCAGCAATGACTGCAGACAGATACAGAACAAAAATCTGCAAAAAAAAAGCTCAGGGTCTAAATATGGTCAAATCCATGAAGGATATTTCCAAGGCTTAAGGGCTGGACAGGCCAGGCTGCCATACAGTACCATTTAAAATAAGGATGTAAAGATATCGAAGAAAGTGTCAAACAAAAACCAGACCACCACTAGTGCAGGAGTTATAGTATGTGATGGTAAACTAGGGTAGATTTCGGAATGGGATTCCCCTAACAGCTTGCATTTTGTGTAGAACATTACAGATGCACAGCAGGACCCTAAAGACTACAACTGCTGTGGGTGAAGAAATGCTCTAAAGACAGGAGCTAATTAAATTTGACTCAGTTCCATTCAAATTGTACTGGATAATGTGGCAATTACTCTACTGCATGCCAGCAGCACCACAGAGAAAGCCTGAGACATCACTGTGCCTGTCTTTACCATTGTATATGATGATATATATGTTCAATATTTATTTTAATTTCTAAAATTGTAGCCACAATGTTTTGGGTAAGTTAGTGCATGTCCCAGGTTTTGTTTCTCTTTCCACAAATTGCTCCCCAGCACATTCAAGAAGCATTTGGTAAAATACAGAAGTTCAAGTTGAAATGGCTAACAGTAATGCTGTAATCCTGTGGCTTTATTTTTGGTCTCTACCTCTATTGCCACCTCTGAGCCTTCCCTGTTCTCCCATTCCATGGTCAGCTGAGCCAAGTTATAAAGAAAAAGCTCTTTTTCTTTAGAAAGCAGAAGTTGTGCTTACTGAAACATGATGTATTTTATAGGCCTAATATAAAATACATATCCTATAACTAGCACTTTGATTAAGAAAAAAATTTACTATCAGTACAAACTTTAACAAGATTTATTGTTCATGCAAGTAAGTAAAAAAAAATCTATACCATTGCAAACAAACTAGTTAGAAAACTATCATACTGAGCAGTGTTATTAATAAGGCATCAGGACTCAAGTCCACAACCTGCCTGGTTCTCTCTCACTGCAGTAATATTTATGCCACAGCAAACTTTAAACGTGGGATATGAAGTGGATTTTTTGAGAAACAGAAGCAACTCCAGCAAAGGAGGGCTGCCTTCTCTCGTTCCCAAACATGTCTACCATACAAAACTCCAGGGAGGGTCCATGGTGGTGAATAATACATCAGTGTCTATCTTGCTGGATTAACTTTCATAAACCAGTATTTTCTTGGCTGCTTGTTCACTAAGAGATAGGTCCTTCAAGGATAGGGCTGTCTGCAGAAGGGTGAATTTAATTAATGACTAGTCCCATTACTTCCTTCTACAGCCCACCCAGGATGCTGTTCCCCAGAAATGCTGTGAATTAACACCCTGACCACATATTCTGGCCACAGAACCACTCATGTTAAATGAAAGTTGGTGGAACATTGCTGAAACCTGCACTGAGCGCAGCTGGCCTGCCAGCACACCTTATTAACGGGCTTTGGAACCACATTGGCAAATTCATGAAAGAAAAAGAACAGGGGAGGAAAGAAATGACCATTTTGTAGAATTGTGTGAAATGGTGGCTGAAGACCATGCTGGGTTTCTCAAGCACAATAAGCAGATATTGTCATGACAAGGAGGCAGGGGGTCTTAATAGGGGCATCCCACCAAGAGCTGTTGGAACGGAAAAATCCGCCATTGCATTTTTCAGCCTGATAACTGGAGTACTCTTGATACAGTTTTATGTGTCAGGATTTTAGGAAATAAAGTTTGTGACTATTGTTGATTTTACTGATTACCAATGCAAGAAAGCTTATGATGTCGTACTGTCTTTGTGTGCCTCTCAGTGTCTCCTACACTGCAAGGACTTTTGAAAACTGGCCAACTGGTTGGACCAGATTTGACACAGGCCAAGAGTTTTCAACAATAATTATGGTCCTACCAGTTTTGTAAAAATAGGCAGCCAGAGAGAGAAAGAGGAGAAAGAAAGACATTGCAAGATCAATCAAGGAAAATGTTACAGCAAGAGATCACCCCTTATAAGCCACTAGAGAATCTTGTATAAGTCACACAAGACTGAAATCTGATGAATGCCTTAGTCACAAGAAAAGCCTTATTTTGAAGTTGCACTTTTTTTTGAAGCCAAAGTCAGTCAACCAAGAGACACACATTGGGACAGTAACTGGCTTCTTTAATTCTGGAGTTGACAGCACAGTGTCTTATTCTCATGTGCTAGTTTCTGTCCGACCAAGCAGTTTTATACAACCCCCAAAGCATTTCTATACAATAAAAGTGCAATCCCTGATCTGAATTGTAATCAGGAATGCTATGAAAATAATGTGAAATAAATCCTGTCCACACAAAAATATGATTGCATTTTTAAAAAAATAAATAACATTATACATCTATGTTGTTTTATAGCATTATTTAAAACACTCACTGTTAAAATGTCTGTATCACAGTTATACCTATTTATGTATACATAACACACTTATTAATGTATTTTTGAGTTATGAGATAACCTTAAATCCTTTGAAATTAAGTCCTTATAAACTATACCATTATGTTGGAAATGTGAGAGAAAGGCATTAAAAAGGCACTTTATGCAAATACTAAATTCACATCAATATTTTCAGAGAAATAATAATTCTTTTCCAAATCTGTGAATCTGGAAAATAGCTTTCAGTGTCAAATTTAGAGCTTTATTTTGACATTTCTGAATCAAAACACTCAGTTTTTATTTTGAAAATAAAGTTCTCACTTAAAAATATTTTTCAGGACAAAATAAGTATAAAGTGAAATATTTAGACTAAAGAAAATACTTTGCATTAAGAGAAACTGATTTTATTTTTTTTTAGAAAAATAGAAAAAACTGCATTTCACTTGAACTGAACTTGAACTTGTCCAGATGTGCCAAGAAATAGGAAACTTGTGACTGAAGGTTGTCCTACCATGAGCCCTAAAGCAAGTGGAAAAAAGAAACCTGAATTCCCCAAATTCAAGCAAGCAAGTGATCTATTAGAAGCAATCACCAAGTTACATGCTACTCTAAGATGACTGCAAAAAATAGTGCCTGGTAAATAGAAGGCATTAACTCCATATGCACTGGAGAAAGACATTCCAACCACCTGTTCAAAAATCTGATCTAACTTAAAAATTTCTATCAGTCCTTTGCTTTCAAATATTACTTTTAGAGTAGCCTTAAGAACATCATTGGCAACTGATGGATTGTCACTGTTTCAGAGACTACTGCTAAGGGATTCACTTTGACCGTATATTGATTCAATTAGATATATTTAAGATGTGTATCAGTACTCTCTGGGAGGATAAACCAAGCATCCATCCCTTTTATTGGTAGGCTGAAGTTTCTAATTTCACAGGAGTTGAAACCAGACTGGCTGATTTCCTAGGCATCACAGCTAGAGATATTTCAGAATTTGGTTCCTGGGTTTTCTGACTGCAAAGCTGCCAGCTTGTTTTGCACTTCCTATTTTAGGAACAGAAGGATGAGAGGCTGTTCACAGTGACTTTTTAATGTATGAAATGCTGTTGGGAGGTAACTACTAAAGTGAGGGGCCCTCAACTAAACATGCTTTGGTAACAAAATGTTAAAAAGATCACTCCTATATCATTCTTAGTGTTACTTTTCCAGCAAAAGTCAATCAGGATGTACCCATATAAGGGATAAAACACTTGTTTCTGTATCGTCATTTAAGTAGTAATGTAGTACTACTAGTGGCCATAAAGCAAGTTACTGCCTTTAAAAGATTCTGTTCCTGCATTTAGTACCTCCTTACACCACAATCCTAGGGATATTTTCATTAACACTTTAAACAAGAAGAATGTCTTGGGAATTAATCTAAAGTACAGTGAAATAATTCAAAAAAACCCTTTCCTTCTGAAATTAATGTGCTTTTGATGAGGTTGACAAGTAGGGTCCTTAACAACTACCCCACATACTCATATGGTGTATTTCTGCCTCCAAGCCAGCACCGAGGCAGTGGTTTACCATCACTGCAATATCATCTATAGTGCCGAGCTGGCAAGTCCACAGCCTTCCACCGGCACTCAGAGGGCAGGTCTCAAATGCCACAGCATGGGAAGCAAAACCAGGTGATTCTCAAGTATGGACGGCTACACTGAATCATAGGAAATGAAAGAGAGCTTCACTTTCATTATAGACTTTCTCCACACTGAGGTTTAAACCTCTAATAGCAGAGTTACAGGCTGAGCCTCAAAAGTTTTATGTTAATATGGTCATAACAACTGCAGTTTAGGTTACAGAAAAGCTGATTACAGCAACTTGGTTTAAACATGAAAATAAAACCACAGAGCTGCTCACATGGATGCCTGACAGGGTGAGCAGATGAGTACAGCAAAACATCACAAGACGTATCAGGAAGGACAGTAGAATGAACAGAGTATTTGCCTTGAGGCACAATCTAGCCCTGATAGATTTATTGTACCTATAGCTCTAGGTGCATGTTCACATACCAAACATCACAGAGCTGGAGATCATAGCCGTGTAGTAAAGCATGCCGACAAAGTAACCTATGCTGTGTCTGTAATCACATTTTTCCAAAGACTGGTATCCTAATAAGACTTTGGAAGTGTCTGTCCACACACTTAGATCTACCAGCAAAAAGCAAGTCCTTGTATGCTGCCGATGTGTCCCATTTCCAGGTCACACAACAGCCTGGTGTGCCTTTGGAAGGCCTGGTTTGGAAGCATGGATGTGCACTGGGTGATTTCGTCTGTGTACGTTTCCACCAAGTCAGACCCTGGTACTCAGGCTGACATTCCAAACCACCAAGCATTTTTAAGCAGCTGCCTGTTTCTTAATATCAGTAATAGTCAGAAAATATTTCTTGCTCCCTAGCTCCTCAGTTTCTTCCCAAAATTACTTCTGAGATGCAGACAAGGCAACATTCAATTCTGCAGTAATAAAAACTCAATAACTTGTCTACTCATGCTTTAACTGTTTGAGAAATAGGAATTCTTTCTTTCTGTTATTTTTCATCATTTCTTTTCTGACCCGAAAGGCTCCCCAGTACAGCCTAAAGTTACAATTTTAAATTAATAAAATTGATACAAGGTAATTTCTGTGTTGTTTCACTCTCATTGATTTGATCTTTTTTCTCTGTTGACAGTTTTGCACACAAGGGTCTAACAAAATACAAAAGGTCTACAAAAATACAAGAACCAGTTCCATGAACATAGAAAAACCCTTGAAAACTATTACAGAAATAGTGCCTTTCAAGCATGTATGAAATACACAAAAGGCATGTGGTGTGGAAAAGAAGTTGAGGTAAAATAAATGGCAATATACCATGCTCTACTATTAAACTAAATTGATTTACTTAACATTTAAGTCACATTAGACTTTACAGATGTTCAAAATATGAGCAAGTTAACTCTACTAGAATTAGAGTCTGCAGAATTGGCTTTACTATGTAGTAGTGCTCCTCTATGTGCCACAAAGACTTAGTTAACATTTCACAAACCGAGGCAGAAATGCTGTGCTGGTTATGCTTGGTGTAGGTAGTTTTCTTCACACCCATCTCAGGTGATGGGAATAAGCATGGCTCTGCTGACACTGGAACCACACTCACAGATGTTAGGGAGGAATTTGACCCTTCCTTTCTGTGGTTTAGGGAAGTTTATAAAAAGTACAGGATGGGAGTGGAAGAGTAAAGTATTCTCTTTAAACTTGTTTGATAGCTATCATAGTGAGATATAACGCCTTTATTAGATGTCACTCTGTGAGAGCTACATGGCTTGTTCATTGTTCTCCTTAGCTTATTCCTAGGTAATAAAAGCTTATAGTCATAAAAAATTGGTATTGTGCTGCATTACAAAGTTTCTTTTGTACTTTAATGCAGACTTATATAGACTGCCTATATATAAAAAAGATTAATTCTTTGAGTTATCTGCTCCTTAAAATAAGATGCTGTGACTCAAAGCTCCTTGAAATCAGTGCAAAAATACTTAGTCACTTATTTGTCATGATGATTTTCATGTGAAAAAAACTGTAATTGAACACAGCCAAGGCCTTTGCTACATCTTCTGCACCTTGTAATCTGTCCACTAACCTCACCTCTCTGTGGGTTGCATCTCATGCTTCAAGCTCCAAGCTAGGCACCAGGACAAAGTCAGTAAGAAAATATTTTTCTTCTTACTTCAAGATTAATTGGAGACACAAAATAAGGAACTTTCAATTCAGAATGAGCTGAATTTTTTGGTGAATAACTGTTAAGAAAAAAAATTGCCATCTTCCCATGGCAGATATTTCTATCCATGATTGTGCTATATAGGGAAAAAACAGTTTTGGAAAATATCCCTGCAAAGGAAAATACTTAGACACAGATGGCATTTAAAGTCAATAGGTGAATCTGGCTTGTCTTTGCTGGATTTATGGACTATGGAGTTGATTCACAGTTTGTGTAGATATTAAATCTGAAAATCTATTCAACCCTCTGTTTTATCCAGCCATCAAAGTCTCCTCATCGCATCTCAATGAAAAATATAATTCTACAGAACATACTTATATTTATTGGGAAATTTATTATAGCTTCATTGTTTATCTTCACCAAAATCTGTATTTTTTCCTATTCTGGAGGCTTCTTTCTGTTACGCAGTCATTTTGTTAGCCTGTCTAGACCACAATGTGAGGTCATCATCATACCATCTGTTAAACTTGTTCAGGTTAGCGTGTCTGCAACTCAGTTCAGCTCAAATGTTATTAGAACATCCTCAAAAATGAGGGTAAGTCAGGCCAAGTCATACTTCTCAAGCATACTACAGGTAATAGATCTACTATCACAGGTAATATAGCTGGTATTTTGTCATGGGTTTATTATAGAAGTATTTAGAAGCCATTTCAAGCTAATCTTGAAATATTTTCATCTGAATATCTGAATTCACAGAAAAATTAGCATATCTGAGTGGCATGGAATAATTAAATTCATAGTACTGGTACAAATGTGGAAAAATGTCCATAATCTGAGGACATATGCCAGGAAAAAACCCTGGATTTTGATATTCTAATTGACATTGCGTAGGAACTTACACATATCAGCCCATGATCTCAGCCAGATGATGGGGAAGGGAAGGTAATACTTAGTGTGTTTTGTAAAGATAACAGTGTGGCCTCTCTGCCTGCAGCTCCAGTGTTTTAGGGCATACAGATTCATCAAAGACAAAACTTGCAAACTTGTTTAATTTGATGTTAACAGAAGAAAACCAAATATTGATAGAGGAGTTATATTCTGACTTACCTTCCAGTGAACTGCATTGCCATGCGAGTAACAATTGTTTACATGTGTGTTGCAGAAGAAGGCGAAGAAATACAACAAATGAGGACGTCTTTATCACACTTCATCCAGCAAGGTGATTGACACCTTATTCAACAGGGAAATAAAACAACATTCAAAGTAAAACATTATTTGTAAACTGTTCTGTCAGTGTTGAATACTACATGGACAAATAATGAGTAGCACTAGATATAGTACATGTTGAATTTCTTATGAAGTTAACTTTTTTGAAATGAACATTTGCAATCATTGCTGCTAGCTATATGACCTGCTTCTTTCCAAGCAAACCCAGGCTTTATTCCATATTTTTTGCTATTACAACTGTAATTAGTTTGACATCCCTCATATAAACCTTATTCTTGTAAATAAAAAAAAAAAAAAGAAAATCTTACATGAATGTTGAACAAGCAGCCTCCAAATTTATCTGCAGAAAGGAAAAAGGATTTTGGAAAGAAATCTGAAATATTGCTAGATGTTTGCACAGATATAAGCTAGGTCCTCAGGGGTTTTTTAATCTGTATTTTCTTAAATATTATAATTTTGCTGATAGTTGTAGAACTCTGTCTTGTTAGGCAGCTTCTGTTAGAGAAAAAAGTATTTTCAAATAGTTTCAAACTTAGTACAACTCACATCTGCCTTTTTAGATGACCAGCTCAATTAAGCAACTGTTTCACACTTGTTGCAAAACACCATATTCTCTTAGGAGATGGAGAGGGAGATAAGAATAACCACAGCGACATGGTCTGTAATGATAATGGAGCTACCTGGCAATTCCTTGTCTTGGGAGGGATGAAGTGCTAGTGCCAATACAGGCAACCTGGCACGTCATTTGTGTCTGAAACACCTGTGTCAGGGCAGCACAAAAATAGTTTGCTTCAGTGCCCAAGGGAATGGAGAATAACAGTGCTTGGAGTTGTGAGGGAACGGGGATGTCTCTGCTGCATTGGGTCTCCTTAGCAAGAAAAGCCATGCTGCTTGGTGCTGAACTTTCTCCATGAAGGTGTAAGCTGACATATTATTTGGCCAGCTCAGCATCTTTGTTATTGTCCCTGCCCTCTGTCCTATCCAGTTTAGAAATTATTTCTAGGCCTTCTAGAACAGCTGGTGTAAAGAGAAAGTTGCCATTTCAACCAGAATGTTGCAGGACCAGATTATTTTCACATGTTTTCTCAGGGTTGGGAACATACATTGACCTCTTCACCCTAACCCTAAAATATTTTTTTCTTTATGCAAGTTTTGCATTTGAATTGCTTTGAGAGTTGTACACCAGCAGATATATCCTTATTTAAAGATCAAAAAATTCTCAGATTGTACCCAGTAAGCTGTTCATTCCTTTTCTAACAAATCCGATTAGTTCACTTCAAAATACCATCATCTTCTTAAACTACAGTAATACCACTCTGTTCTGAGGGCCAGTATGAACTGATGCCATTTTTGGGAAACTGTGATTTTCAACTGGTAGAAAATTAATGAGATCAAGGGAAAAAAAAATGTTGATTTTGTGCCAGTGCTTGGGATATCAGTTCTGCCAATTGACTGTCATCTACTACTAGCAGATGTGCTATAAAAGGCGATGAAATTCATTGTTAGCATGTTGCTTGGTGGCCAAAGCCAATTACAGAATGAAGAACTGAGCCTTTCTAATAAAAGAATATATATATGGAAATTACATGTATTTCCATATAGTGATAAGTATTTTTAAACTGCTTAAAGGAAGGTTTGACTAACTTCATTTTATGTTAGTATGCAATAGCATAGCTCCTTATTTAATACACAGTATAGATTTTTTTTCCAATTATATTTTAGACTGATACTTTATTTCTTACTGGTCATATTTCTTACTCTTTGTAAATGTTTGCCAAGATAGAATAAAATTCTGATACCTCAAAATAAAAGTGTATAATGATTGCTGGGAAGATAAAAGCTTCCTTTTTTTTTTTTTTTTTTTTACAGAATGTGAGTTTAAAAAGCAGACTGAAATGGGTTGTTTAGTCTGGTGAGGATAGACTGAATGGAGACCTAGTAACTATTTCCAAGTATACAGTAGTTTGCTAGTTTGAGGAAAAGAACACGCTCATTATTTCTTGCCATTTTCTTAGTGAATATGGTAATGTGCTTAAAACAGCAAGGGAGACTTAGATTACATGTTATGGAAAGCTTTCCAACAGATACAGATTGCAGAACACAAAATAGATTGTCTAGGGAGATTGTGGCATCTTTACTGTTGGAAGTTTTTTAAGAACTTGTAATACAATCCTCTCTTAAACGTGTTTTAGGCAGAACTGATCTTGTCTGGGACAGAGGATGTAATACATGACTTCTCTGGGTCTCTCTATTCTTAATTTCTATGAACCCTTTGAGTAGTCCCAATAGTTTCCCACTTAATTCATACTGCAAACTGTTAACTATAAGCTTGGCTTACAGTTGCAGCTATGTTACAAGTAGTAATGGGCATTATATTGACATTGAAGTAGTACCACTATTCTAAAAGTACATTATACCAAAATTGATAGGTGCTATTGCAAGGTATCTGCACAAGTCCTGTGCTCTGCTTTATTTCTCTGCCATTAGCTACCTCCCATGTCTTGGCCCCATCTTCTTTACTAAAGAATGATAGAAATGTATGCATCTAGTTTTTTAGAGTAGCAAAGAAAATCTTGCCTCTGTCTTGAAGTCTTCTGATCCCTTGTCCAAAAGGCTTAGTAGTAATAAGACAGTGGTATCAGTGCCCGGTCCTTTTATTGGTGTCAGTGTCATGGAAGAGTCAAATGATACTGCCCACAGCATGTTGCAGATCAGGTCCTGTCTTTCACTTCTTCACAGGTCGCAGGCAGAGAAGTTAGGGAAACTAAAAATTAGATTTGGAAATTTCTGTTGTGGCTTCATAACTGGAGGGGACTGAAGAGATGGGGAGACTGAGACAGGGATTGGTTTAATGACATTACATTGAAACTTTTATATCTAGAAATAAGTCTTAATTCATACAGTAGTGCCTTAAAATATTTTACTTTAATCTGTGAAGTGTTTCAAAACTAATTTATATATTATATATATGCATATCTGTACACAAACACATCTTTCACTTTAAGTTAACTTTATCAATATCAATATTTAAAATGATTAAATTCAGATTTATTAAGGGCAGCAGCTATTAGAGCATTTTTCCTTAAATCGAACTTTGAAAATATTCACATAGATGCAGTATCTGTAAATACACTTGCTTTCTATCAGTCTAATATATATTTTAAATATTTCTATACAAATTTAATTTGCTTCATATCTACAAATATATCCAGATAACTCTCTTGTATTCCTTCCTTCCCAAATTACGCTACATGAAACAGACTCGATTGCTAGGGATAGTATGACAGAACTATTTGCATCACTTTTACAACGTAACATGGGCTAAATCTTGAAATCTTTTTTACCCAAAAAGTCTCACCAACATCCATAGGAGATTTGCCTGGGGGAAAAAACCCCACCAAACACAAGAAAGCATCAAAAACGCAAACCCCAGCCTCTTTAGATTTGTACGATACTGGAACAACCCAAACATGCAATCTCCCTTCACAACTAGATATTTAATCTCTCTTCAAAGTCGTGCTCTGTTCTTTTCTCAGACATTGAACAAATAATTCCTGTCTGTAATATAAACAGCCAAGCTGAAGTGAATTGCAGAAAAATAGATGGTCTGCTTTGGCTGTTTTGTAGCATTCCTGTCATGCAAAACACTCATATGTCTGATTTAACCAGGCAGGTGAGCCAAAGCCAGTGCTGCTGCAGTACACTCTTTTTTCCCAAACAAGACTAAGATACTCTGAACTCATTGCTAAAACTCACTGATCAAGTCTGATTATCTCACTTTCCAACTACTTTCTTCTCCAGCTTCAACAAATGCAGTTTTCCCCACTCCGTATGTACAGAAAGAAAGCTGCTGCAAGGGTCATTCTCCCAACCTCTTGCTTTGACCATGGCCCTCCTCCGCTGCTTCTCCATGATTTCAGACATAAGCTATCCATTCTCATGCTTAAGGTCCTAGACTCCTCTAAAATTATAGTCTTTCACTGAAGACTGTAATTGACTGGATTCTGGTCTCCATCACATAACTGATTAATATTCAAGAAAGCACATTTATACACTCCTATGTATCTCCACACGCTGTGTGACACCTTCCTGCAAGACATCCACAAAAAAAATCATCTTGTTTTCTGAAATGGCTTCTTTGAACTTACCTGTGACTGTAGCGCCTACAGAAACTGGATAGTAGCTTGGCTATCAAGGCTCACTTATTTTCCATTCTTTCCTTTTTTATTAACTGTCTTTATATAGTTGTCACAGGCTCACATTTCATACCGAGGGTATGCCTACATTGTCTCTCACAGAGAGCCATGAGCCCATCTGAAAGGTGTAGTGAGAAGGCTGCAGGTAGATGTACTGTCCGGGCTGTTGCTGCAGGAGCACACGCTGCCTTTCAGCAGGATTTACTGACTTGAGTTAATGATGCTGCTCCCTTCCAGCTCAGAGCTAGCTTGGATCTCAAAGGGGCAGAGTGTGGAGAAGTGTGTTCACTTCAGCCTGAAAAGTCCTGTGAAGATCACAAACCCCGAGGCAGGGATTATCTTTTTTCTCTGTTTACTTGTCACGCTCTTCACTTGTCACGCTGGAGCTTTGAGGTGCTATAACAGAGCACATAATAGACAAAACCAGTAGACTAATAATAGAAGGTAGTGTATGATTATTTTTTTTTTTTGTGAGGAACTTAATGTAGGTAAAGATCTAAAGTTCATGATCTGTTTTAAAGTAATAAAAACTATTTATTCAATATTTGCTCAATGTTTCTACTATTTGCTCAATAAATGAGAACTTCACTGCAAATTGAAAAAAGAGTAGAATAATAAAAAATTAGAAGAAAAATATTTATTAGATAATCTCTGCTTGTAGGCAGGTTCTTGTGACATATTTTCAGTCAGTACTAATTTCTAACAAAGGTTTCTATTTGTTAATAACTCTAAGACTGGCTGTGGACTTGTAAAAGAGGCAAGGATCAGACATGAACAAAAAAGTCCTTTATTTTCACAGAGAAAATTTTGGATGGTTTTCAGTTTTTACTTGAAACCTTCTATGTTCATATGAGATTTTTTTTTTTTTTAATATTGAAAACTCAGTGTTCCAAAGATAATAGATATATTTTAGGAAAAAAAAATACTTATGAGTGTAGTCTGCCACTGAAGAACAACTCTGATAGCAAATATTTGACCAGCCTGAACAAGAACCCTGCTTTTCGAGGGAAACAATTTCCATTTTCAACACATACTGCTGCTTTCCACTTTGCCCACTGACATAGACAAGAATCACAGATTCCCACTCGTGCCTGGGAGCCTGGCTGTACCACTCCTCAAGGCACTGAGCCCTTGGGGCTACTTGAGTAGCGTGAATATTGCAGCATTTCATTGAAATGTCTGCTTTTCATTTCTGAGAAAGAAGAATTGTGATTTTGCTCTGCAGCCTATGTATTGTAGCAGTAAAATAATATGTTCCACAAGGGGCTCCAGAAAGAGATATTTCACTAAACAGAGCATCGTAAGATTATTTCATCTGGGATAACATCATTCTTTGAAGGTTTGGAAGACCTATGTTTACCTCTTGAAGAATATCACTCATCTATCTCCCTTGCTATCTTTGCAAAGTATCCCTTTCTATGGAAAAATATGATTTTACAACTGCTCACTGACTTAGCCAGACATATTATGGGTTCAAAGTGAGTGTCAAGCTGAATGTAACAGTCTGTGCTAGCTGCTTCATGCTGTTCTGCATGAAAAGTACTGGGAAGATTAGTCAACGTTGTGAAGCCTGGATGTAGTAGGTAGACTTGTATGTGTTCATGTCATGAATTGGATACGAAGTGGAAGCAAGTGAAGAATAAGGAAAACGGATGGGTATAGTAGACTAAAACAAACAGATTAGTCACTTAGAATGATTACAGTCTGTAGCTTGTCTTCTGCTTCGTGCTTCATTCATGTTGATTTTTAGGGTGTAAATGACAGTAATACTTGGTCCAATTTAGGAAGGTTGGGTTTAACTTATTTTCAGGCTTCTCTATGTATGGAAATGAACAAGAATGTGAATTGCTACGGCTACTATTTTTTTTTTTTGGAAAACAAACCTCAAACAGTTCTTGGAAACTTGGGGGTGGAGGGAAAGTATTACATGTATTTCACTGATCAGATTGCCATTAATAGCTTCCTCCATGAAAAGACTAGGTTAAAAAACAAGGTGAAAATCTTACAACTGAGTTAATTCCATTCTAATTCTACTTTTGTTGATAGCCAACAAGGGAAAATGAACCCCGATTAGAAATCTTATTTAAAAGTCTATTCACTTATTAAATGACAAAAAAGATTTCAAAGAAAAAGGTGAGTGGTCTTAATTGATGGGAAGGCCTGGTGAATGCCTTGGGAAGGAAAGGTTTTCAAGAGCATCAGAATGACTGGAAGCTGGATTTGTTGACCAGAATGTTGAAAATATTTCTCACAGTGACTTACACCCTTACCGACTTGAATCAAGTTATCCCACTTTTTAGAAGAAAGTAAAATTTATGTTACTAAACAAGCAGTAAGTTACACAATAGATGTGCTTTTATATATAAATATATATATACATATATATATAAAATGTTTAGTAGAAGTTGTTGGAAAAGCAATCATTTGTTGATCTTTTTTCCACTGGTAATGATGCATGTATTCACACGCATAATACACATGGTGGGTAACAAACATAATAAACAGGGCGGGTAAAATCCACACACCCCAAACCAGAGCAAGTTGTTATAGCATGCTGCTTATGACATAGTGGATTTTAGAATCAATTATTTGTGTTAATAATTAAAAAGACTTTAGGATGTTTACAGTTGAACATAGATTTAGCCAGGCATTTGTGGCTAACAATGTGGGTATTCAGAGAACATAGAACAAAAGTATGCATGCCCAATTATATAAGAACTAACTTTGCTTCAAATAGAAGTTTCCAAATATAAAACACATTAGCAAAAATATATAATTTTATAACCAATTTCTGACTATGTCACAAAATTTCATAATAAAAAGGAAATGAGGAGGAAAAAAGCACAAAAGAATGAATCAGAATCTGATCTTGTGCTGGCAAATATCCAGAGTGTTATAATTGATTTTAGTATAACTGAGATTAGAAACTTTCCCAAGTAGTGCAATAAATTGGCCCAGGAGATGAGAAACATAATTCCAACTCATTCCATGATGGCCATGTGATAACTCTGTTGAGCTGTGCAAGAAGCTTGCTAAGCATTATGCAATGCACAGTCACACAAAAATCTTTAGTACAGCTGATATTTGATGAGGGAGATTGAATTAAATTAAATATCTTTACATCTGAGTAGGAGGCAACAGGCACAATCTCTTTTCCAAACTGCTCCAGGATGCTGAATAACACTGATGGGATGCAAGGATACTAAGCATGAAAGAAAGATTTCTGCATTCTTCTTAGAGAACGTGAAGAGTAACCAAGTTAGTCATTCAATTTTGTATTATCTTAAATCAATGGTTTAATTTCTTTTGAGACAGACATTGGCACTGAAAAATATACTGTGCATGTCTGAGTTGGGTGGTGGAAGGAGTGAGGCTTATTAACATGTAAATAGATTTATCTGAGCACTAAAATGGATATGCTAAGTAAATGGCTGTGCCAGGGAAACTGATTCTACCAAGTGGACTAAGAAGACAAAGGATCACCTGATGAAGATGATGAGAGTCAGCTTTCAAAACCAATTAGAGATTATGGAAGGAAGTGTCACCCACCATTTTAGGTAAATCATGGGGCATCAGCAATTTATATAAGACAGAAGAACAGCAATAATTGTAGACGTCAAAAAAGACCCTAATTAGGAGAAAAAGGCACATGCAGAAAGGGGGAACTCAAACTAAAAAAAATGCTCAAGAGACGCAACAAAATGGGAATGTAGAAATTTAGAATATGTTTTCAGTTGTTTCACTGAGTTCTGCAGATTTACTGCACCAGCTAAATTTTCTGGCATCTGGACAAATTTTGCTGCTACCATATCCCTGAGGAGGGAAACTGAGAAGAGCCTGTAAAGAGTCAGAGATCTGGAAAATCTGTGCTTGCGGGTATCGTGAGGAAGGGAGAGCACGTACATCCTGTGGCTGTGGGTCAGCTACCTTCTGTGGCTCCCTTTCTACAAAGAAGTAGCAGATAGAGCTGCGGAAAGCATGACAAGACACTAGAGTCCTCTGAGACCGAGGGGAGCACGCAGATTTCTGCCATGCTGAGCGCCTGGTGCAACAGCCCAGGGTGCCTCTGCCAGCGGGTGCTTCACCGTGGTGGGGCACAGACGCACTGGTAAATTTGCAGTTCGGTACCTTCCTATCACAGAAAAGCCATCTAAAAGTCTAGCATCGTGCAGTCTAAAGCAAAGACATGCCAAAGTAAAAGTCTTTGTTTCCAGAGGTGTATTTTTCCTCTTCAAGAAATATACAGCAGAAACCTATGAAGGTAAATAGCAGGGACTTATGAATATAAATAGCATAAGTAACAGGGTAAAGAAAGTAAACCTGTTGCGCTTCAGGGCCAGGCTTAAACTAGAAATAAAGGGAAGGAAGCATGTCCAGTGAAGAGAGATGAGGCAGTTATTCCAGTAGAAGTAGAAAACTGCCAAACTGAGATTTGCCACAACAGGCATTGGAAGTCTTCAAATGAAGAGGCCTGGGAAGCATTGCAATTACTGCGCCTTGGTTCATCTCACATGCTGCACATTTTAGAAAGCTAAATGCCTGTCACATGTTTCTTGAATAGCATCCCTCATCACAGAGTTCCAGAACTGTTTCTAACAAGGAAGCTCGGAAATAGGCTCATATACTTACTAATCATCAATTCTGCTTGATTAAAAAAAAAAGCACAAACCAAAAACCCCTCAAAAAACTACATTCATAATATCAAATGGGTTTATTTTTAGTTCATACAAATACTGCATAAGCTCTTCAAAGTTCAAAAATAAACTCTTTGGAAGTAAGCCTAATTTCAGTTTTGTGAAGGTCAATATTTCAAGAACTGTGTTTTTGAGTACAGTTGGGGCATTTGATAGTATTAATGTTTTCCCTTGGTGATTTTTAGATTTAATTTTAAATAACATACTGACAGCGATATTAAAAGTTTAACGGTTAAGGATTCAACCATTAATGTCAGTAGTGTAAGGGTACTTAACCATAACAATTCCACAGATTATGATCTATATGGTAGATTTTAAGACTCAACTAGAACATATTATAAAGAGAGCTCCCTAAGAGCTCACTCTTTATTAAAAATTGCCCAGAAAATTGCTCAGAAAATAGAAGAGTGGTTTTCTTTTCCTTCTTAACTTACCATATACTACTCAATTATAATTTATAGTTAGACACTTAGACTAGGAAAGCTATTATTTAGTCTTCCAAAATTGTCTTTGTTCTTTGGAAGATGTTTGTCAACAGAAGACTATTTGAACGCTTTTGTAAGAAATGAGAAGGATTAACACATTTTGATCATTTGTACCCTGCAAAGCTCTGATATAATGATTTAAATGTTTACTTTCTTGAACAATTAATATATTAAGATATTATTTACTCTAGAGATGATTAACAAAAGGCTTCAAAAA